ACTTTCTATATTCCCTTCAAAAATGTTTCAAGAGATTGTCTGAGGGCTTTGTTAGTACAAGAAACTTTATCTGTCAAAGTGCTTTAAACTGACAGATTGCTAACACAAATCCATTATATTCAAATCTTAAGTAAAATAATATACTGTCTAACAAATAATTATAATGAAAAGATAATACATTGTTAAATAAGAAAAGCCACATGCCTAATGTTTTTTACTTCCTAAAGGTATGGATGAGCATCCAGTGAGATTTCTGGAGAGGCTCTGGTCCTGGTACCTAGATCCAGTGGTGATAACAGGGAACTGGGGCATAAACAGTCCTGCGAATTCTTAAAAGCAGAGTTGCAAAGAAAAGCTGGAGAAGAACAGGGGGCTGAGTCAGGGTTTCTGGGAAGTATTCTGAACTTTCTTTCACTCTGTTTAAACCAGCCGAAATTTTTTTTTTTCACATATGTTTAACATTGTCTATAATTGATACCGGGGGATTCTGATTATAATAAACTATTGCTGCTGGATGTAAATACTTGGTAAAGAGGGAGGATTTAAGTTAGTTCAGCAATAATTATTTTATTGACTTTTGGCTACAATATTAAGCTCCGCTGCTTTACTGAGTGACTTTTTTTTTTTTCCAATTATTTTTCAAATCTGCACTACCCTTCAGGCCTATAAGCGGTTTCTATTTTGTACAGCAGGTAAAAACTTAGGATGAATTTTCAAATGTTAAGCTCTTCCCATCCTCCACATGCTTGAAGCAAAACCAAAGGGATCCTTCGTTGACTACTTCTAAAGTTTCCAAAATTAGGTATTTGCTCTTAATTTTAAGACAGATTCTAAGACATGCATGGTTGATTTGCCAGCACTTATCTCTTAGCTCAATCGTCCTAGCTAGTAATTAAGATAATTGAAATTGTGTAAGAATGGACTTTCTAAACCTGCCCTTTAATGATGAGGTATGGTTATTGCTGAGTAATGAAACAGTAGCCAGTAGAAAATGCTGGTGGAGCCACAGCTGTATTTCTCACAGGATGCTTTTGTTGCATCACTTCACTCTCATTCAGACAGTAACAACTGCTCCGACTGCCTGTTTGTGCATTTATTCCACAACTGCCTCTGCTATTCATCTGCAATTCATTCATAACTAATCTGTAAATCCCCAGCCCCTTCTCCTTCAGGTCTGTCTGTAAGACTTCCCAAATGGACACACGTCATTAGACCTAGTGGTAAGGCAGGCAGGTTATACACTGTACATTTTACAAGGTTTTTAGTGCTTAAGAAGCATTAACGTGCACAAGTCATGCAGCAAATATGCGTTAAAGTTACTTTTGCCATTGGTGTTGATTTGGCCATTTGACTGTTCCTTCTGTCTTCTTTCCCATTGTTAAAGCTTTCCTACCAAGGCTTCTTTTAAATGAGATGAAAAACTGTTTAGGAACTAAATATTGTTTCCCTTCAGCTTTTACAGATTCTAGTCTTCTGGCTGAAGAGGGAATAGGCAGAGCCCTGGGACACAGGGGACGTGGTGTCTTTCCTGAGATGCCCCTGCAGCCTGCCCTGGGACATTCAGCAAGCTGGCACCACCGTGCTTTTGTTCTTTCTCTCATTCCCAACATGTCCTAGCTGTGTGGGGAAGAAGCTGCCTCTCTTTTTTTCTATGGTTGGCTAATCTCAGTTCTAGTCCTTGCTGGAAGACAGTTAACAGGAGGTTACTCTGAACAACACTGGATAGTGCTAGCATGGCACCAGCTATGGCAAGAGCAGCATCTCTCCAAAACCCATAACTTGAAAGCTGGCACAAGGGAGGTTGCAAGAGTACCCTGCCAAATAAACCTCCTGTGTAGGACAGAATTAGACATGTGTACTAAACCACTGTGCTGTAACGCAGGACTACTTATTTCCCTCTGTTACTGAGAGCAGCACAACTGTAGTCACGTCTGTCGTCATTGTAGGAGTGTTTGTGTGTTGTGTACCTGGTTGCTAAGATGATCCAAGCAATCAGCACTATGTAGCGCTAAAGAGGACATTGATGGTACTGTAGAGGTGTTAGAAGACAGCTGGGGTTAATTCTGCCTTCTTTCAAGTAGGGTCTGTCTTCAGAGCAAGAACTTCTTTTTTACCCACTGGAGCACCAGTCTAGAAGCATTTAAAGTCCCATTGCAAGACGTAGCATGCCTGTTTAGTATAGGTGATAAAGTGGAGAGGCAGGGCAAGGGAGCAGGCATGGACATGGGTAAGGAGGAGAGGGATGATTTTCAAAAGGTACTTTGCTTCTTCAGTTACTTGTTATAGATAACTCATTCTTGCGGATGAGTTTTACTTTTACTAAATAGCTGAATGGGTTTGAGAGACAGTAACTAGAAGAGGAGATTGAGTGCTGTAAGAACTGATCTAGAGAAGATACCATCTTCATTCTCTGAAATATCTCTGCAGACTGAAGGATCACTCTTCTGATGGAACAGCTGTTGACTTTTTAATTTGTTTATGGTTTTGTTTAGAATGGCCACAGTGCACAAAACTGGAAGACATCAGTCCTTCTGGGTTTATGGAAGCCGCATTTATGCTGAAGGGAAGCGTAACTGCTTGTTGTTGTTCTCAGTTTCAACAAAAGCTTTGGAGGCTGTAATTCAACTAATTCACATTTTTAAACATTAATACTGAATTTGGCTTATTTTCAGCTTGGCACCTGTCTTTACAGATGCCTGAAAACTCATTTCTCAGGTCTATTCTAGAAATGTCATAGGGGTGTTTTCCGGGCTGGTGAATTGGTCTGTTCTGATGTTGTGTGGACTTGTGAGGAAAACACTGGCCAGCTGACTTGCAACAGAGTTTGCTTGTAGCACTGACTCTGCCACTGGCTTGTTTGGTGGCTGTGGACAGTCACTTGATGACTCTGTGACTCCATGTTCCCACCTTTAAAACAAGGGTGATGATTTTTATTTCCTTTGTAAAATGCTTTGAGATCCACTTTATACCGTAGCAAACATTACCAATAGTAGTCATATATACATATATATATACATATCTCTTTTAAAGCCATAGGAAACTATCTGTGAATCCCACTTAGTCCCTGCAACCAGTGGGTGTCCCTAAAATCATTCAGAATTGGCAGAGAGTGGCTGTTGTGCAGACATGCCCACACTCCAGAGATGTGACTGCAGCTTCCACAGGTATGCCCAAGCTCGCTCCGAGCTCTCGCCCTGCTGACGGGTTACCCATGACAGTGTGCAGCTCAGCTTGTGCTGCTGGCTGCACCCAACTAGCTCAGTAGATGCTGGGGGGATGAGCCCACGCTGGGCTCCATACTGCTGCAGTGACATTGTTGCCAGTATCTCCCCTAGTTAATTTAAAGCTAGCTCAAGTATGTCTGCACAAGCTGTAGTTAGGCAGTGACTGCGGTATAAAAATACACCCTATAGGAGACCACAGGCAGCTGGAGCTTCAGAGAAAGCGTCTTAGTTACATTTGCAATCAAGCGCGGGCTGCTGGCATCGTTTCAAATTTACCTTACCTTTGGCTTATCATTCTTCATACTCTGCAAATATAGCCCTGCTCTCAAAGAAAGGGAAGGTTTTGTTTATCCTCTTCACCTGTCGTGAATGGTGTTCTAGACCAGAGCATGCTTAAAATAGGAATTTAAATGCCTCAATTTTCATTTTAGTTGCCACTTTATCCATACGTAACTCTCATTTACCTTTTTTCCCATCCAAAATGTGGAGGAAGCTTTAACATGGTGACAATAATGCTGAGAAGTAGGTAGTATCACTCTGTTTTTAAAGAGAGAGAGAAATCGAGGCAGAGGAAAAGTTTTTTGCAATGGACTAAACAGGGAGTCAAGGTGGGAGAAGGAGCTGGCTCTAGGCATTTATTTTTCCCTGGGGGAACCAGTGGTGTTTGGACCACATGGACTGTACCAGTTAACCAATAACTCACCAACTACCAGTTGCATCCTAATCCATTTTTTGCCAGGTTCCCCATTATTGCACACCTTACACATGTTTATAAGAGAAGTCTTAAGTACACTTTAAAATGACACAGCAAATTAATAATAAACTACATAATTCAGTACTGTACGGAACAAGCATCCTCCTAGGATGTATCAGATAAATAAAACACGGGTTAGAAGTGTCTCTGAATGATGGCATTGTAGGAAAGGCATCTCAAAAAATAAAGGAGTAATGATCACATCCTTTTCTGGTTTATAGTCTTCCTTTCTTAATATATTTAAAATATTTGGCTCCAAATTCAAATGCTTATAGGAAAGGTATACATTGAAAAGATCTTGTTTTAAGTCTCATTAGCTGTGCTAAGTGTCAATTCATTTGGCAAAATATTCTCCCAGAAAACATTTTGTGCCAGTTCAACGCTATTTGATGGCTGATTCCTCAAAGATCTATTCTGAGTATAGAAAGGAGCCACATGATTCATTCAGCTTGTGCATATCTATTTTATCTCGATAGAAGGATTATATATGGAGAGATAAAGGTTTGTTAAACAAAGTATCATTAATCACTCTGTCCGGAAATGTGGACTTTGCAGGAGCATGTTGTAATTTGCATCACTTTTGCTATGCCTTGCCAGTGCTGCTGGTGAGAAATAACAAACTTGTATTTATAAAAAGGACAGGCTTAAGATGAAAATAATTCTATCCGAAAACTGTGAGAATGGTACAGAATCCTGTCGCCTGCACTCGTTCAACGGGAGAACACTGTATTTGTAATAAATTCCTTTTGCTCTGGATGAGTTCTGCATTTTCAATGAGGTTAACTTGGCAACATTCTAGTTGATTTTAATAAAAATAGCTGCTTTGAGGACAGAGAGCTGAGGTTGCCAAATTTACAGCTGCCTTGCACAATTACTCTTACACCTCCTTCAGGGCTACTTAGAACCAGTAAGCAAATTAAGTGTATCGATTGCAATTTTGTTGGACTAACCCTTTTTTCTTAAGGAATAAACTTGATTCCTTTCAGTATGTGTCTGCTCAGAGTGATCTCTTTTCTTTTCAGCCATAACACAAAGACAACATCATGGCTGGATCCACGACTTGCGAAAAAGGCTAAACCTCCAGAAGAGTGCAAAGAAAACGGTAGGTTATTAAGTTTTCGTTGCTGCTCAGAGGGGATTTGCCTTTGTGTGTGTGTGTTTCTCTCAGTTCTTACAAAAATCAGGCATTTGGGGGAATGATGAAAGGTGTTTAATTGCTGCTTTGGTTAGAAGCCATAAGTGATACCAGTTCTCAGTGTGCCATGTGTTTCTGCTTTTTATTCCCCTTTCTGATGCTATCCAAAGCTGAGGATCACAAGTGTGTTTTCTGCCTGTTGTGTGTGTGACTCCGGGACTGACCCTCTCCCTCATCTCCTACAGAGAACTTTGGTCTGCAGAACAGAATCCCTTTTCAGATTCTGAGCTTTTAATCTACAGGCGATTCAATGCATAAGGGAAACTAGCAGCACCGTTGGAATATGAATATTGTTTGATTTGTATTTAAAGGTACAGTGCTATGCTATTTAGTAGCCAATTTAAACAAAATAGTGTCTGATAAAGCAGAGTGTGGGAGGGAGAAAAGAGATCAGTGTCTGTCAGAGTTCAAGGCTGGATTTGGGGGGTACTGCATTGTTAATGTTTTAAAATTTAAAGGCGTAAATAATGTTGAGGATGCTTAAAGGAGCTGTAGCTGTTGTGCAGGAGAGATGACTATACTGACAGATTCAGAGATATGAAATAATACAGATCATATCGAACTATCTTATATGCATTCAGTATATTTTCTATTTTTTCTCTGGCAAAGTTTCAGTAATCAAAATAATTTAATAAAGCCAATGTAAAAATGTATTGTAATAGAACTTTTTCTGAGAAGGTTTTTTTTCATTGTTTTATAGTTCAGTGTCAGTTCAATTAGCCAGTTAAGAAGTAATGATTTCTAAAGTCTACTTATTTTATTATTTTGACATACAGAGGATTAAATGTATGCATGCTATGTGCATTAATTCAAAGCATTTTTAAATATTTTAAACGTATTAATAGGTTTCCATGTACTGCACCTGATTTATTTTAAATTTTCCGAAATACATTAATTTGATTAATGTAAATACTATTAACAGAAAGAAAACTCAGTGCCGTTTTGGGCTGATAAAGAGGTCACTGAGGAGTTGCTGGCTGTATGAAATGCAGGGTCAGTGGTTTGGTAAAGAATGTTCCTGGGTTTTTTTGTAAATGGCTTCATTTTGAAAGATTACTGTATTCCAAAAATCCCTTCCTTATTTCAGCAGTAATTCTGACGTTCTCTTCTGACATCAGAAATTACATGTCTGAATGATTTTGTGATGCTTATTCTAGCACTGACAACACTAGCTCCTGGAGTAAATTCTACAGTGAATACAACAGAAGTGTGTTACTGAAACAAAACAAGGGCACAGGAGTTTTGCAGAATAAATCTCTCACATTACTTATATGAAGCTATATCTTTGCCTGATCCTTAAGGAATACTAGTGGAAAAAGCAGAAGAAAAATCCACCAATATCTGTGGAGTAACATATCACAGGGTTACTTGGAGTAAATGTGTGTTACTTTTTTTTCTTTTTTCTTTTTCTGTTAGCTGCTTTATACTGAGATCACAATAAGTACTGAAATATTTTAAAAAAATACCAAGATACCTGGAACAATTTAAAATGAAGATCGGTGCATGAAAGAAACAGCATTATTTTGTAGTTATATGACTAGTGGATTATTGAATTACTATAGTATGCTGGGTCATGTTGTTCTTTTAAGAGTTGCTCATCTCATTAATGCAAAGCACTTGAAGTGAAGCATAAAAGACTTTAGGTAGAGATCTGTTCCTACAGAGATTGTTCCTGCAACATCCTCTCTTCTTCTAAGGTTCTTTGGTTGTTCAAAAATTGTTGTGGTGTTTTTGTTGTTTTTTTTTTTTAATCCAATAGCTGCACAAGAAAAGGTTCTTAAAATGTCTACTATGCCTTAAAATGCCTGTACCTTGCCATTGAGGTCCAACACCAGGGAGTTTGTTACAGCACATGGAGATTTGGAATTTTTGTTTTGATCAAGGATTTTGTAAGATCAAGGATTAATTTCACACGCTTTTCAGCTATGGCTTGGTAGATGTTTTTTATGCCAAACATCTTTTCTGTTACACTTTATGATTTATTCTGGCACATTTTACTCAGAGATACAAAATTTTAGAAAGACGTCAGTGTTTAGCTAGGAAATGATACCTACCTTGCTTCTTTATCACTATCAGCATAACTTGTGTTTTTCATTGACATTCATTTTGTCACATCTGAAACTTGTTTTGATTCACTGAGATACATTATGATGTCCTTATCACCTATCAGATTCTGCAATCAGGTTTTCATTTTGAACAACCCAACTTTTCTGTTCTCCTTTCAGTGCAAATCCTGACAAATCCTCCTTCTTCATTCTGCCACCAGCACACAGTTTCCACACCAGACAACGTCCAAGCAGCATACAATATTTGAGTCCTGATGTTCTGGGCTAGCAATATAGAGGGCCCCCTCTGCTCCAGGCATTTCCTCTCTTCCACTTTCAGCTCTTCAATACTCCTTGCCAAATATGATTTCTTCATTTTCTCTGGCTTCTATATCTGCAAGTCCCAGTGTTTGCTCATCTCTCTGCAAAATCTGAATCAACCTTCCAGCACATCCCTCCTCTTGGAAAAATTTTCACATGCCTTTGCCAAGAGATTGACAAGCTCTACCAAGTCAAGCTTTCTTTGCCTCCATGCTGTGGACTCTTTCTGTTTTCCTTTAATGACATCCACTGCTCTAAACCCCTTTGTAGGTCAGGAGGTTTTAAGGCCTGATCTTTATTTCTGTCTCTGCCATGGAACTTCTGTGTGAGTTTCAGCAAATTACTTCAACTTTTGCTCTGTCAGATCTACTTAGATGGCACATCTTTGAATCAAGAATTGCCTCTTACTCTCTGTTTGTGTGGTGCCTATCTGAGTTTCGTAATAGCAATAAGCAGAAATAGCTGGCAATTCTTCAATAAGAACTAGAATTTCTTACACATTTCTGATTTCCTCCAGAAAATCCTGACTTTATTAAAAATAATTGTGTTTTCTCTCCAGAAAATATGAATTAAATATTTGGGTTTTCTGAATTGGAATACTTCTTTTAAATGTTTCCTCCCCTCCCCCCCCCCATCAAAATTGGTTAACCAATTTTTATCTGTAGAGTACTATAGAAGTTAAAGTTCTGCCTCCTTTTTTTTGTGAGCTAGGTTCCCTGGTTGCTACATTTTCTGTAAAGTCATATTACATAGCAGACTCACAGGATTTCCATGTTTACAGGTATATTATGTGAGTGATTACCAACAGAGTCTGTTCTTCGGGAGAGAATGTGGAAAAGAATGACAAGTCCCATAATGCAATAAAAAATGTAGTTTAATATTGAAAGGCAGTTCAGCTTTAATGACATGAAATATCTCAGGTTTGAGAAAGTTCATTTTTGGTTAAGAAATGTAGTAAATCTTTCAAATTCTTTAATTAATTTTAGGAAACATTTCATTCTGGAGAAAAGTGAACATTTACTTTATCCAATTTGGGGATTAAACAGCTGTTGAAATTTCCTGGGATCAGATATGTCAAATTTCACTTATTTCATTACTACAAATTTCACTTATTTCATTACTAATCCATCCCAATTGGTAGTCTCCGTCACTCTTAACTCTCCCTTTCTTTTTATGTCAACCTCCTTTCTCCTATCTCTTAGTTTCCAAATACAAGTAGGCTTAAGACTATAAATAAAGCTTTGATTTCACCTAGTATTCATCTGTCATCTGTCTTTCCATCTCCTCTACACCCACCAGCTTGACTGCAAAATATAGGTGTTTATTTAGGGTGAGCCAAGTTGCCTTTAAACTTCATTGACTGTGAATATCAGCTCTATTTTGACAATTAGAGAGCACAGATATCTGGTTCACATGCAAACACCTGTATATAGACAGACTGCTACATTTAGGTGTCTTCATCTTGAACTGAACCCCACCCTCCTGTCACGTTTTGTCAGGTTATCCTTTTCCCCATTCCTGTAGTCACAGGCAATACCTTTTGGTGAGCTCACTGCCATGCACAGCTTCAGTGCTCTCCTTCATGCCAATGACACACACATCTACCCTTTTCCTCTTCATCTTTCTCTCTTAGTTGAGGCTCTTGTTTCATGTTACCTATGACATCTCCCATTGGTCATCTCCCATCTTGAGTCCTCCAAGGAAACTCCCTTTTGCTAATAGCAGTACTTTCCACCTCCCTATACCCTTACCCTGCCACTTCATGGCATCTAGGACTTCTCCCTTTTCCTTTTCACCCAGACAGCAGAGTTCCTTCTTGGGGCTTTGTGTGGCACATGCAGTGTGTCATAGCACATGCAGTGTGCACACGCAGTCACAAATTCAGGAATTCAGCTCCCTTTCCTTCTTTGAGAACACTGTTATCATCTTGATCAATCATCTCTAAACATTTCAGAATTTCTAAAAAAAACCAAAAGCTGTAGATTTATTCCTATAACTTAATTTTAAACACATATATTATATATGTAATATGATTCTTGCCAGGAAAAAAAAAAAAAAACCAACCAAAAAAAAACCCCAGAAGACAAATGTTAAATTCAGAATTATAAAGGTGATCACTTGTTAGGCTATCTGTAATCTCAAGGGTATAACTATCCCAGGAAACCAATAATCTTTTATATGAGTAAATAAGCCCACTTTGCCTTACTTTCTTCTGAAACTTTATGTAGTGCATTTTTAGCTGGACACATCTCTTGTGAGACACAGGAGCACCTTTGTTCACTGCATGTTCATTTTGGAAACCTCTTTAAATGGTGCTGAGATTTACGAAAAAATGTTTTCAAACCATTTTGCATTCTATTTTATGACTGCCTTAATGCTGAAAAACGCTTCTTTCTCAAAACCTCACCATTTAACATACAGTCCCTTTTCATGTTCCTGCTCTAAGCTACTGCCTCACCATTTTTACACGCCCTGTACCAATCCTAGAAATGACTGAAGCCCAGCAATTAGTCTGCTGTTTTGACTATTTTGCTTGTTTCC